GGCGGTCCCATCCCACCCAGGGATGCCACCGCCACCTGCTCCATCCCCCCCCCCCACACACACTCCGCCGTGCTTTCCTCCCTCTCTTTCCTCCCCGCCAGGTCACCGAGTCGGTGGATGAGACGGGCTGGCTGGAGCGGCAGGTGTCGCGCAACGGCACGCGCGAGGCGGGCGGCTTCACAGAGGCATACCTCACTGAGGAGGGGTTCACCCAGGAGGCGCGCAGGCGGGATGTGAGCTGCCTGCCGCCGCATCACATGAAGCCGCTGGCACGTGCTGGGGTTGTCGGGATGAGGAGGAGTCGGGGCAGGGCAGGGAGGCGGGCGCAGCGATCGCGCGGCGGCAACATGCGGCCCGGAAAGTGGGGTTGTGGCATGGCAGCAGGCAGCAGAGGGTCCCGAGTGCTGCTCGTCCAAGGTCATACTGCTCACCTGGCGCTGCCGGTGCTGGCGGTGCCGCCTGCAGGACGAGCTGCCCGAAAACCTGGCCAACTCCTCCTCCACCATCGCCTGGTGGCAGTCGCGGCAGGCTGAGGTGGATGCGCGGCTGCGGGTGCGGCGCGCCGCGATGGGCCGCGTGGCCCAGACGGTCAGCGAGATCCAGGAGAATGGGAAGAAAGCGGTGAACAAGCTGCCCAAGATCTTCGAGCTGGTGGGCGGCAAGGCCAACAAGTGAGGCGGGGGTGGCAGGGGACCCCTCCCTTTGCCCTCCCCCCAGCGCTCCAGCCTCTCCCAGTGCTGAGCTGGCAAGCGCCATTCTTTGCACCCCTGGTCCCACCCCCACTTGCGGCCCCACAGTTTTCCTTTTTCCCCAGAAGCTGCCCTGCCTCCACAGCCGCACATGGCCACTGCAGCCAGGCCTCCTTGCTGTCCTCCCCTTTCATCACATGGCCACCCCTGCCGGCAGCCCAGCCCCGACTGCCCACTCGCTGAGTGAGGCAGGCAGCTGGGTAGTTGGCAGGGCAACCCTCATAAATTTTGGTGTTTACCCCCGATTTACTGCCGGCCAGAGGGGCAGGCCCCTGCCTGCTCCCCACCTGGCAGTGTTGGTTCTTCCCTTGTTTCCTGCGTTTCATATCATTGTGAGCCGGCGGCCCTCCTCCTGTTGGCGGCTGGAACTGCCGAGCTGGATAGCACATGGCCCTCTCTTTGATTTAACATGCAATCGTGGTTCAAAGTCCCCCCATGAATCGCCCTGCGTCTTGTTTCATTCATCGATCGCCTCTCCCTCCGCCCACACCGCCCTCAATTCATTGGTGTCCCCTGTGGCTGATCGATCCGCCCCATTATTCCCCTCCTTACTAGCATATGCATCATGCCGACGAACTGCTGTTTCTTGCCCCAGCCGAATAGATGACTCAGCCGACCCTTCTCAGCAACGAACCTCTCAGAGCCATTGTAACAGCAGAGTGTTTTGGTTCCAAACATCAGGCAGGCAGGCAGGCAGAGAGACGACCGAGGCAGGCAAGCAGCGCAGCCTTGCCGCATGGCGGCCATGGCTGGCAGGCAGGGCCTTGCAACATGCCCACGGGTTCTGTGCAGGATGGCGAGCTGCCGAGCCCATATCAACAGGCGCACACACAGGCCTAGGGGGGCCCTGGGACAAGAAGCTTATGGGCAGCCGTCACGCGGCCAGGCTTGAAAGCTGGGTGTTGGTACAACGTGTTGCTGGCAGCAGGGCCGCGCCCCCTCATCTCTTCTCGGAGCTCAGCCCAACCATATCCTTGGCAGCCTGCACGCAGGAGTAGGGGCAGCAGGGCATTGCGGCGGTTTACCGAGGGCATCCCTGCCGCCCCAGCGTGCTCCTCATGTCACCTGCAGCACGTCGCCGGCCTTCCCGGTGGCGGCGGCGGCGGTCGCTGACATCGCCTCGGAGGCGCGCTGCACGATGCCCTTGCTGGCCTGCAGTGGGCAGGGAGGCGGCAGGCAGGCGTCGTTTGGGCTTGGGCTGGCAGAGGGCAAGGACCGGCAGGGTGTTCGGAGGGGGGAGCTGCCAGGCTGGCCACACGCAGCAGCGGTAAGCGTGCGTGAGGGGAGGACAGCGCCATGCTGGCGAGGAGCAGCGGGAGGCGGGCGGCTGGTTGGGGGCAGGGCTGGGTGGCTGCCAGCTGCACACCTGGTGCTCTGCCAACTCCCGCAATCGCTCCTGCTCCTCCTCCTCCTCCTCCGGGCGAAGTCCATCTTTGCCCGCATGCCAGTGTTCTTCCAGGTGCTTGGCTCCCTGTGCTGGCAGGGGCCGGGGAAGCGCCGAGGGCACGCAGGCAAGCGTGAACCCTGAGCGGGGGCTTGCTGCCGCCGCCCAGCCCAGTCGCCCCTTGCACCCTGGCAGCCCCGCCCTCACCTTGTGCTCTGCCAGGCCCGGCTCGGCATAGTCTACTGTGTTGCCGTACGCCAGCTCAGCAGCCGACCTGCTGGTCTTGAAGTAGGATGGCGCGACGGCGGCGGCGGCCGCAGACATCATGCCTCCCACCGCCGCGGCGGCACGCGACACCAGGGCACGAGGGCCGTACCCCCTCTGCGGCGGCGGACCCAGGTAAGCGTTGTGGTTTGGGGAGGTGACATGCATGCCAGGGTTCCCGCTCTGCTGACTGGGCGTGGCACGCTCCTGCCCTGCTGGGATGACTGGGCGTGGCACGCCCCAACTTGCCTGCTCCTGAAGGCGCGCGTTTTCCTCCTCATAATCTTCTTTACGCAAACCCTCACGCCCCGCATGCCAATGTTCTTCCAGGTGCTTGGCTCCCTGTGCTTGGCAGGGGCCGGGACAGGGCCGAGGGCATGCAGGCAAGAGTGGCGGGCTTGCTTCCGCCGCCCTGTCCTGTCGCCCCTTGCCCTCAGGGCTGGCAGCCGCCCCCCCTCACCTTGTGCTCTGCCAGGCCAGGGTCGGCATAGCCCTCGGACTCCAGCATTGCCATCTCAGCAGCCGACCTGGTGGCGCGGAACTGGGGCGCGCCCGCGGCGGTAGCCAGCTCGCTGCCGCTGCCCTATGACAGGCGGCGGGCCAAACCCTTGTCGTTGGGCACAGCCGGCGGCAGCCCAACCTCGTGCAGTGCAGTCCAAAGCAGCTGCAGCTGGAGGGCAGCCTTGGGACCCACCCGCGGCAGCTTGTCCCAGCTGGCGCTCTTCTTTACCTGCGCCTGCTTCTCCTCGGCCATGGTGATGATGGTTGAGATGCATGAACGTGACTTGCTGGGGAGCGTCGAGCTTCCCAGTCGGTGAAGTACATCCGGCCGCGGCTAAGAAAGGCCTTCTTTGAAGGCGCTGGAGCTAGTGTCTAAACCCTCCGAGAGGGCACAGGTTCGATTCCTCCCATGTCGAAACTTTGTGAGGACAAACGCGGCATAGCTGACCGGCTCAGCGCCAATCCAAGCCAATTCCTTCGGGAACGCCTAATAGAATCGCCAAGGCTTCGGCACAGGCCTCCCCGGGACCCATTCACTACTAGTGGGGGGTACTGCACTTGGCGCGTCGGGCAGATCAAATAATGGTCTAAAGCTAGACGTTAAAACCGGGAAGTGAAGCTTGTGGAGGCTCTTCCCCACCTTTACCTTTACCTTTACCTTAGTACAACAGTATCATTGCCGGCGGGGTCTGCTGGTGAACCCCACGGCCTCCCCTCTTTTCAGCAAGGTTTGCACAGGGGTGTCCAAGGTTGATCCCCCTGCCCACCCTCTCAGCTTCTCCGCCGCCGCGGCAGACATGAACCGCCGCACCCTGCTCCTGGCAGCAGCGGTCGGCCTGGCAGCGGTGCTGCTGGGCTCCGCCGCGCTGCCCGCAGTGGGCGGCGTGCTGGGCGCCTGGCGCTTGAGCACCGTTGGCTACCGCCTGATGAACCTGGTCGGCAGTGGCCGGTTTGAACTGGTGCACGGAGTCAAAAAGGACGTCTACAGGTGCGGGTGGCAGCATCCAGGCCCCACGGGGGCAGGCAGGCTCCTCTAGTTTGGACGTCAGGCAGGCTTATCTAGTTTGGACGATCAAATCTGCTGTAGTGATGCACTGGCAGCATACTGCTCCTGCTGCTCCCGCGCAGGTTGGACCTGTGGTGGAGGCCGCTGCCCGTGCTGCTGCTGCCGGTGTCTGCTGTGCTGGTGAAGGAAGGGGGCGGCTGGGTGCTGGTTGATGCGGGAGCCCCAGACAGCTGGAGCCAGGCGTATGCCAGCCGTCTGGTGCAGGCGGTGCAGCAGACCGTCTCCTCGACCAAAGGCGGCGGGCTGAAGGCAATCCTGCGTGAGCGCTGGGGTGCTCGGGAGCCTGGCGACATGCTACCCGCGTGCCGCCAGCGTGCCGCCAGGGCCCCTCCTGGATGTTGCAACCCCCGCCCCCTCCTCCCTGTTTACCCTCTGCAGTGACTCACGGGCACGCAGACCACGTAGGCGCGCTGCCTCAGCTGCTCCAGCACTTTCCAGAGGTGCCAGTTGTGCTGCACAGCGGTGAAGCGCCTTTCCTGTTGGGAGGCGAGGAGTACCTGCCGCCCAGCTCCCGTCTCCAGTACCTGCTGCGTGCGCTGAGCATGGTGCCGCACAGTCCTGTCAAGGTGAGCACTTGGCGGGAGCAGATCAGTGCTGGCACCGAAGAGGAGGCGCTGAGATAGGTCCAAGCCAGGGCGGCCACGCCGTATGCATTGCCTGCGCCGCTGCTGGCCAGACAGGCATGCATCCAGCCTCCACACAACCCCTTGTTCGCCCTGCTGCCTGAAGCTGCCAGAGTCACGTGTCGCGCTCCTGCACGGCACCGAGGGCGGCAGCCTGCGGCAGCACGGCATAAGCAGCCTCAGGCAAGCCTCTGCTGTGCTCACCGGCAGACTCCGCAGCGACACGCTGGCAGCGCTGCTGCTGGTGGCGCCAAGGTGAAGCACAGCCTGCAGCCTGACTGCCGGCTGCGTGTTGCCTGGCCCATGCCGCGTGCAGCTGGATCGCCACTCCCGGCCACACCCCCGGCCACATGTCCTTCCTGCACCACCCCAGCGGCACGCTGCTGGGCGGGGACGCGTTGTTCAACATGCTGCCCTCCTTCAGCTGGGCCAGCGGCATAGAGGCGCTGGTGACGCGCCCGCTGGGCTGGGCCGCCCGCCTGTCGTTCGCCCCTGCCATGGCAGCGCTGGCCAGGCTGTGGGAGGGCGCGCTGCCGGCGGTGAAGGCCACGCTGGGAGCGCTGGGGCTGGGCCAGCTCGGCCCTCGCACCAAGGCGGTGAGCAGGGCGAGCGGGGTGCAGGGTTGCATGCATGCGCTGGAGGCTGCCGTCTCAAGCGATGCTCCATGCCTTTCACTGCGTCGCAGGTGCTGCAGAGCAGCGCTGTGGGTCAGGTGGGCTGTGCGCTGGGCCAGCACTTCCTCTCTGCTTGCCTCTTGACGTGTCAGCCAACAGCTGGCCATCACCTGTGCCTGCCTGCCCGCGTTAAGCTGCATGCCTGCAGGAGCTGGGGACGTACCGCATCATCCGCCTCCTGCCTGGGGTGACGGTTCGCATCTCACCATCCATCGTCTGCCTGGGGCCCCAGTGAGTGCAGTGCAGAAGTGCAGCTGCTCACAGGTGGACACTGCGGGCAGCTGGTCTTCCTTCCTTCACCCAACAGACAGCGCTCCAGCCATGATCGCTTACGCCCCATGCGGCACCCGAATCCTTTCCCCTGCGGCCGGCCTGGTGTGCAGCTGCGATGTGGAGCGGGCGCAGGCCAGCGTGTGCGCCCTGTCCAAGCTCAATTTTCGCTGCCTGCTGCCCATGCACGACGCCACCGGCAAGGGGCTGTCGGCCGCCGACGTGGCGACGTTTGCTGGCCACCTACCCGCCTGCGCCGCTGCCGGGAAGGGGGGCTAGCTGGCTCCATGGACGAGAGAAGTGCACTGGAACGGCGACGGCGGCATGGCGGCTCCGGCACGGCGCCGCCGGCACGGCGCCCGCTGGCGGTGCGTCAGCAAATGCCCTCTCAAACCAAATGGCGCGCTTGCCTAGGCCCGTGATCGTTGCAATCTGCTGCCATCGCTTTTGGAGGGCGTCAGTGGGTGGGTGGGAATTGGCGGCTCGGTTGCGCACACGCTCTCGCCTGTTTGTTGTTGTGTTGAGACCCACGCCCCAGCATGGGCACACGGGGTGGCTGGGTGGCGTGCCTGGTGCCCCTGTTGGCGCTGCACTCGTGCACCGCGTCCGCGACAAAAGTACAGGTGCGGGCTGCACGACGCACGCCGCTGCTTCAGTAAATGGTAGTGCAGGCTGCGCCGCCGTCAGGAGCGCGTCCCGCGCCCAACTGCTGCCGCCCGCCCCCAACTGCCGCCGCCACCGGCGCCGCCCACATCCCCCCGGCCCTGCAGTGGAACGCCACGGGGACCTATGTCAACTACCCCTTTGGCTCGCAATACCCGCCCTATGTGATACGCACGGTGGAGGGCGATGCTCCCGATACGATTGTGCTGGTCAGCGACTTTGACGGCAGCAGCTACACGCTGTCGGCCTACGATGCCGCCACGGGTGGGTGGTCTCCTGCGCTGGAGCCGCTGAAGCTCTGCTGGGTTAACCCACCTCAAAGCAGGGCCTGGCAGCTGTCGCCACCAACACTGCTGCCTGGTTGCCTTGCTGCTGCTGCTGCCTTGGGGGGATCTTTTGCTTCGCTATGCTGACGCTGTGCTCACACTGTTGCGCCCGCCGCCGCCTCCTCTTCTCACCGCAGGCGCCGTCAATTACACCTTCTCGGTGGCGGTGCCCGACAGCAGCAACAGCGTGCTGTCCACGCTGACCAGCGGCGTGCCGCCCATGCAGCAGCACAACAACACCCTCAGCCTGCTCTTCATGCAGATAGGCACGGTGGTGGTGGCGGTCGATCCAGCCAGCGGGCAGCAGCTGTGGAGCCACCCCACCTACAACCAGACCATGCCCAAAATCACGGGGTACAGGTGCGGGGGGTGCAGGCCAGGGGCGACACCCAGCCAGCCACCCAGCCGGCCATCCAGCAGGAGGCACTGCATGATTGCATAGTATTGCAACGGTCCATGTGCACGCACGCCCACCACCTCTCGCACAAGCCCGCCACTCGGCCTGGCGTCACCGAGCCCTCCGAGGCCTCTCGCCTTGCTGGCTGCTGGTGCCGCGGGGCAGCCAGCGCACCAGCCTCAGCCGCTGCTGCACCGCCCAGACCCTCCCCTGCGCCCCCGCCCTCTCGCCTGCCTCCCCGCAGCGGCCCCGACGGCGCCACCGTGTACCTCACCTCCTCCTTCATCGACACCACCCGGGCAGTGCCCACCCCCGTCAATTACATAGAGGCCCTGGATGCCGCCACGGGGGTGGTGCGGTGGGCCAACTCCACGCCGCCGCCGCCCACCTCGGGCCTGCCCAACTCCGACACCGCGGCAGCCCACGGCGTCACCGCGCTCCCCGACATGGCCGTCTACGCCCAGGGCCAGCGCATGTACGCGCTGTCGGCGGCCAACGGCAGCCAGCTGTGGTCCATGGTGGTCACCACGGGAAGCTCCTACGGCGCCGCCGCCGCCAACATCAGCAGCATCACGTACGTGGAGGCCGGCGCGCCGCCGGCGGGCAGCCCGTACCCGCTGCTGCTGCTGCAGTCCACGACGTGGGAGCAGACGCGCTTCATCGCGTACAAGCTCAACGGCAGCGCGGGCGCGCCGCCCACGGTGGCCTGGCAGAACAGGGGCAACCAGGTGGGGCGGGGGTGCATGGCCAGGCGCGGCGCGGCGCTGGGGAGCGGGCGTGCAAGCTGCGCACCTGCCTCGGCCTTAGGGCCCTGCCCTGTCCTGCCCTGCATTCGCTGCCCCGCGTTCACGCCCCGCCCCTCTGCATCCATGCCTGCCTCGGCTCACACATTTCACGCGCCTGCCCTGCGCCGCGGGCTTGCAGGACTTTGAGGGCAGCCTGAACGACGGCCTGGCGCGGCTGGGGCTGCAGGTGCCCAGCGTGTCGCTCATCGACGGCGTGTTTGTCTTCTGGTCCAACCGCACCTGTGAGCTGGGCGGGCGGCGCTGGCGGCGGTTTGCCCAGCCCTGGCCAGTGCTGCGGGCTGCCTGTGACGGTGTGCTTGCTTGCGGCGTGGCATGCGCGTGGCACGCCCTGCGCAGCGCCGGCGCCATGCCGAGCCCGTGCTGCTGAGCGTGCTGTGCCGTGCTGAGCGTGCTGGGCTGTGCTGGGCCGTGCTGTGCAGCCTACGACCTGACCAACGGTGGCAAGCCTTTCTACAGCACCTGGCTGGTGGGGCGGTCGGTGCTGAACGGCGGCGTCATGTGGACCAAGAGCATGAATGCCTCCGGCTGGAGCCAGCTGCCCGTGTCGCGGCCCACGGTGCACCTGGGCGTCGCCTCCCTGGTGACTGGCAGCCAGGTGGTGGTGATGGAGGCGGGCAGCGGCAGCACGCGGTTCGTGTACAGCGCAGGTGGGCGTGCGTGTGTGTGTGTGTGTGTGGTGTGTGGTGGTGGTAGCAGCAGTGTGCATACGTGCTTGGGGGCGTGGATGCGTGGTGTGTGAGAGTGTGAGCGGGGCTGCTGGTTTGAGGGCAGGGCAGCGTCTGCCAGGCAGGCGGCCGGCGCGGGCCGCGCTAGATGCTGACCGCCGCTGTAGGCGAGCGAGGTTCCCTGTGCCGTTGATGAGCTGCGCCGTGCCTGACATGCCGCCGCCTGGCGTGTGCCTCCTGCTCCTCCTCTGTGCCGCAGCTCCCTCGGACCCTCAGTCCAGCGGCGGCCCGTACTCCTATGTGCCGATCACCACCTTCGCCAACAACATGGGCCAGCTGGCGGCGGTGCGGTGCCTGGGCAGCGACGAGCACGGCTCGCTGTGCATGTACAACGGGTATGACAAGCCCATGCCCTCGGCGGCGGGGCGGCGGCGCCTGGCGGGCGCGCACGCGGCGGCGGCGGCGGCGGCGCTGGCAGCAGCCGCCTGGCTGGTGTTGTAGCCCTGGCTGGCGGCCGCGGCGGGCTGGAAAAGCCCGCTGCTGCACCCCGGGCTGCTCCACGCTGCCGACTGCTGATGCATGGGTTACACGTGTATCAGCGGGCGTGTAAGCAGCCAAAGCCACGAGGGAGGTGAATGGGTAACAGTGCACGCAGGGACCGGCAGTTGATCAATTGCCAGAGGCAGAGTGCAAGTTGATCAAATGCACGGCAGAGGATGTTGTGGTCAGGAGGAGTACCCTTGATTAGTATGGGGCGACAGAAGAGCGTCATGGAGGTGCAGCATCAGAGAATCGCTAGCCAGCTGCGGCCGGAACAGCCGGCCAGCAGCCAGCACAAGAGGGGACACGGGGAGGCACACACACCATGGTGGACAGGGGGGCGCTCACACATTCAGAAGGACAGAAACAGGAGTTGCTGACCGCTACTCAAACACTCGAAGGGACAGGGAAAAAGCGGGGAAACACTCGGGGGAGGGCAGTTGTACAGTGCTTGTCTCGGTATCAGGAGGGCACGGCAGGCAGGCAGGGGGTGCCATGTCATGCGGCAAAGCTGGAAACACAGTAGAAAACAGGCTTGGGGGCACACCAGTTCTGGAAAAGCTGGACTAGGGAGCTCGAACTGACGAGGCTGCAAGCGGCTACGCTTGCAGCACTAGGCTATCGGGGCGCAGGGAGGGTCTCTGGCGCGGGAACACGCTCGCTTCCGCCCATCGCCACCTCAGCCGCGGCTGGCGCCTGTCAGCAGCGTGTCGGCGGAGGAGTGGCGGCGCATGGACCCGCTGCCAGCCTTTGTGAAGAAGCCAGCGGTGAGGTTGTAGGCCTGCAGGAGCCAGGGCGGACAGAGATGGTTGAGGGAGGGAGGTGACTGGCTGCCTTCCCGCACCCAAGCCCTCCCCCTCCACACCCCATCACATCAGCAGCAGGGATAGGATGCGGGCCGCGCGTCTGCCCTGCCTCCCCGTCTCAGTAGCCACTCACATTGAGCCAGCGGCTGTTGGGCGAGGCTGCCAGCTGGCGCGGTGACGGCTGCTTCTGCTTTGCACGCTGCGCCGCCGCCGCCGCCGCCTCGGAAGGTGTGTGGGGTGTGTGGGGTGCTATCGATCGGGCGCTAGTGGTGGAGAGCAGCGCGGCAGCGCTGCTTGCGCTACGTGGCAGCCGCGAGCGGTGGCCTGAGCTGACACCACCTGTCAAGGAGGGAGTCGGCAGCGGGCTGGCGCTGCGCGGCTGCACGCCACTGCTCCCGCGGTGCACGGCCCCCGGCAGCCGTGGACCCGGCTGCGCCTCCCGTGCTGGCACGTGCAGCGGCGGCAGGCGGCGGCGGGGCGCGAGCAGGTCGGCGATGGCAGCGGCGCCGCGTGGCATGCTGTCGCTGTGGCCGTGGCCGCCACCCGCCCAGTCTGCGGCGGCGGGAGCAGGACCAGAGCTGGAGGCATAAGAGAGAACCGTCTGGCCAGAGTCGCTGGCGGCGTCGTCCTCGCTGTCGCTGCGCCTGGTGGCGCCGGCGCCGGCGCCGGTACCGCGGTCCTGCCCGGGCGCCGGGGTGGGCGGCAGCGGCGGCAGCCCCGCCCCGCGCCCTGCCGGCATGCTGTGCTGCTTGATCAGGCCTGGCTGGCTGGTCGCCCTGGGCAGGGAAGGGCTGCGCAGGAGCAGCGGGGCCCCCGAGGCCAGCGCTGCCTGGTGGTGTGCCGCCTGCCGCCGCGGCAGGGGCGCCGCGGCCGCAAAGGGGGACGCCTCTGGAAGGCCCTCGGAGCCGCTGCCGCTGCTGCCGCTGCCCGGCGCGGGGCGCTGGCTGGGGGAGGGCAGCGCGCCGCCGGCTGCCGCCTCCTCCACCCACAGCAGATCCGAATCAGAGCAGGAGGCTCGGCTCAGGCGCTGCAGGGTGTCCTGCCGGCTGGCGGTGCCGGCGGCGGCCTGGCGCCGGCGCCGCGCCAGCTGCCACAGCTGGTGCGCCTCCGCCTGCAGCCAGGGCGGTTGCCGGCGGGCCACCGGTGGTTCAGTATCAAGCACAAGGGCAAGCGGAGCCAGGATGCAGGAGCATTGTGATCCATGCGCAGGCGCAGGGCAGGCCAGCACAGACGCACCGCACGGCAAGCATAAGGGACAGCAAGGAGCAGCGCAGTGCAGGTTACAGCGCAGCGCCGCGCTGCCCACCAGCGTGTTCCGCATCTGAAGCTCGACCTCCTCATCGAACCAGGCAGGGGCAGCCTGCTGCGCCTTGCTGCGCTGCTCATCGGCAGGCGCGTGCCCTGCTGGCGCGAGCGCCGCCGCCGCCGCCGCCGCTGCAGCCAGTGCGCCGGCCCGGGAGTTGCTGCTGCTGGTGCGGCTGAGGCTTGGGCTGGGGACAAGGCTGCTCCCCCGGCTGCTGCCAGCCACGGCAGGGATCTGCGGGACCAGTCCCAGCAGCGCCGCCATGTCGAAATCAGCCAGCACTGTGGCGGCGCCAGCTGGCGCAGCGTTGGCTGGCAGCGCCAGCTCGCCCGGTGCTGGGCCTGCGGCTGCCTTGCTGCTCCTAGACCTGCCCAGCCCCAGCATCCTCAGCACTCCCCTGCCCCCGCCGCCGCGCCCAGCCTGCGCCTGCCCCGGGTCCCCCGCTGCTGCGGGAGCCGCCGCGGGCCCCTGCTCCTGCCGCTTGCACAGCGACTGGAAGCTGTCGCCGGGCGGCAGCACATCCACCACAACGATGCTGGCATCCACCCGGCTGTCCCTGCAGGCACACGAGGGGAGGCGCACCCCGCGAGGAGCAGATAACCCACAGCCAGCCCCAGGCTGTTGAGCCTGTTGTGCACGACAACAGCAAAGTCGATGCCAAGCGCAGCCCGGCCCAGACAGGCAGAACACAGTGGGCCATCAGCAGGCGCCTCCCTGCCGCCTGAAGGGCCAGGAAGAAAGAGCAAAGCCCCACCTGCTGGTGCTGATGGCACGCACCACCTCGTGGGCGGCCGTCTTCAGTGGCGCGGTGTGCATCGTGCGCAGCAGGCGCTCCCCCGCCTGGCTCCACACGCCATCCGACGCCAGGACCAGCCGGCCGCCGCTGGGGGGCAGGAGCACCTGCAGCGGTGCAGGAAATGCGTGTGTGTGGGTGGTTGTTGTGGTTGTTGTGGTTGTGGTTTGGACGGGGGCCATGGCCACGCTCAACCAGAATCTCAGCGGGCACACAGAGCCTGCAGCGGGCTGGCCTGCTCTGCCCTGCTGCGGCTGGTGGCAGCGATGCCCCCGCGTGCCTGCTTGATGTGCGGCAGCGGCAGCACCGCCTGGCCGATGGCAAAGTCGCCAATGGAGCGGGAGAGGGTGAGGCCGCCTGCAGGCAGCAGCGCAACAGCAGCCTGGCTGCTCAGCCTGTGGCCGCGGCAGCTGCGTGCCAGAAGCCGCGGGTGGGTGCGCTCCCCTCAGCTCCCCTTGTCTTGCACAGGCAGCCCACGCGCGCAGCCCCGCTCACCAGGCCACACGCGCAGCACGCCGCTGCCGCGCCACGCGACGTCAGCGGGCCCCACGCCGCCGGCGTCCACCGCCGCCAGGTTGCACCCCGCCGCCAGCAGCCGCTGCCGCTCCGACACGTTGCGGGAGATGTGGTGCTCCTTGCTCAGCGCCAGCAGGCCGCCGTCTCCTGGGTCCAGCACGCAGCGCCCGCTGCCCAGGCTGGCCACCGTGAGCATGCGGCCCACCTGCGGGCATGGCAGCGCGGCGGTGGCAGCGTGGCAGCGTGACAGCGCAGCGCGACAGCGTGGCACTCCTTTCCACCCTGTCTCCCCGACCACCGCCCTGGCCTCCTATGAGCAAAAGCTGCAGCAGCAGCAGCAGCAGCAGCGGCGGAGAAAATGCAGCGTCGGCAGCAGCAGCAGCCCCACCTGCAGCACCAGCGTGGCGGTGCACCCCGACATGCACCCCGTCATGGCAAACTGGCGCTCCAGCTCCAGGCACGCCTGCGCCAGGCCCTCCTGCAGCTGCACCGCCAGCCGCTCCTCAGCAGGCTCCGCCGGGAACAGCTCCGAGGCGCCCCAGGGAGGCAGGAAGGCCTCCACGATGTGCGCCACGGTGTGGGCGGCAAAGCGGGCTGCCTCTGCGCCGTTGTGGCCATCAAACACGGCAAACAAGTGGTAGGAGGGCCTGCAGGCGGGAGGGCTGCCGTTGGTGATTGGGTTGCTGGGATGGTGTGCGGCGAGGCGGCGGCCAGCGGCGGCACGAGCTCACATGGCCGGCTCCTGCCGCCGGCTGGCGAGCAGCATGGAGGGCGCGCCCAGGCTGGCGCTGCGGCGCAGGCTCGGCGGCGCCTCCAGCTGCGTGCCCTCCTGCCCCGACGGCCACGGTCGGCGCACGGCCACCGTGCGGTCCTGCACAGGGTGAGCAGGCACTCAGGGTTGGCTGCCGGGGGTCAAAAGGTATGCACCCGCGGGCTGCGCTCCGCCAGGGCAGTCGGCGCCGAGCGCTGCCGGTGGCCGCTGCGGCCGCCAACGCATGCTCCAGCAGGCACGGGCCCTCCCCCACAGCCAGGCGGCCCTCTCCCTCAGCGCTTCAAGCACTCGCCTCGCCCTTCCGCCCCGCATAGACAGCTGAGCTCCACACAGTTGCCAGGGAGTCGCTGGCCAGCTGCTGGGGCGTCATGGAATCGGGCCAGCCCCCTGTGTCTTCTTCCTCCTCCGGGAAAGACGGGAGGCGATTGATAACGCTGAGTCGCAGTAGGGGAGGCCGGGTGCCCGCTCCTCGCTTCCCCACAGGTCCGCTCTCTTTTGGCCCCGTCCCTCCAGCATTACCCGCCATTATCAATCAGAAAGCGTGATGACAGTGGCGTGGAGGGGCGTCGCGCTGAGCGAGCATCCTGCGGCGGAGCGCAGTGCGCGCACGCTGCAGCGCTGCACTAGAGCCCGGCGCGCGCTTGGCTTGGCTGTTCAGCTACTAGTCACGGGGGATGTTCAACGGGCAGATGAAGAAATTGCTGGAGCGTAGGTGGTTTGACGGGCTGCTGCCATCTGCTGGCACCGCCACGTCGCCGATGCCGGCAGGGGGCATCTTTGACCATGCATGGGAACTGGCCATGCATGTGAATCCTTCAAACAACTGGCAACCAAACACAGGGTTGGTTGTTTACTACAGCCTGCACCCAATTTCAGCACAGCACTTGGCCATGCACCACGCTCCATGCTGTTCGCATGCACGCTGAGCTGACTCTCCCTGATCTCCCCCAGTGCCCCTTTGATGGCGACGCCACTGCGATGGCCACTGCCAAATCGATGACTGATCAAACCCACATACATCAAACATCACGGCCAGCTTGATGTTGCTGTGCCAGCCGAACGCCGGTGGTGTGGTGCAAAATGGCGGCGCGGGCCCAGAAGGTTCCGGCCGGCCTGTTTTGTCTTCGTGTGAGAGCGGGGAGCCTCGTGAGAGCGCTGGGGTGACTGCCGAGCGCTGGTCGCAGCGGCAGGATCCTTCTCCTTCGGGCGGGGCTGGGGCGGCGGGCGCCTGTTACACAGGGGCGCTCCAGCACAAAGGGAGAGAAAAGATGCCAAGACCAGGCAGAGCGCTGCTTATATAGTCTGGCTATCACTCAGCTGTCAGGAAAATATCGAACAGATGAGGGGAAAACTTCCACCAAATGGGTGGAAAATGTCCACCTGCAGATGGGAAAAATGCAAACATACGAATACGAAAGGGACAGCTGGTTGGAAGGTGGCAGCAGCTGGGAAGCTGCTGCATCTGTCGATTGCGAATTCAACCATTTGGAAATTCAAAAAGCAAGGGAGTTTTTGTGTGGCAGAACTCATTGTGCTATCACAGGTGGCGGTTGGCGCCCGGCCGCGGCGCCGGCGCCTGCTGCGTGTGGGGCGCGAACGGGGTGGAGTGGGCACAGCGACGCCATCTCATCCCAGACTTTCAATTCGCTGTGCGGCCCAGCCTGCAGTCAGGCTTCAGCAGGGCAGCGGCGGGCGGCAGGCGGCGGTAGGGCGCAGGCGGGCGGGGCCTTGCACACCCTCCCAGCGTGCCGGGGAGCGAGAACATGATTGCATGGATGGCGCATGACAGCGGAGACTCCATCCGACAGCCTGGCCCCGCCATGGTGCCGCCTCGGGGTTGGAGAAAGTAGGGTTGTTGCCCAGCGCGCTGCAGCGGCGGTCCCACCATTTCCCTCTCCATTCCTCTCTCCATTTCCCCTGCCTGAAGCGGATGGACAAGGACATAGCCGCAGTGACGTTAATGGGCCCGCTCGGAGTCGCGGTTCTGTCGCTCACGCTGGACGCCGCCCTCAGGGCTGACCGGCGGCCATGCGTCGCCCGACAGGCAAGGCCGGCCGAGCCGGGCCAGGCGCGTTGACTGGCAAGCCTCGGCGGGTGCCGCCGCCGCGTTTGAATGGGCCGCCGGCCGGCAGTGTATGAATGCCCCCCTGTTTACGAATGCTCCCCTGTAAACTACCCTCAGTTTTGATCGGATTGCTGAATTGTATTATTCCTTGTTTCATCCTGGTTTTCCTGAACTTGCCATGTAACAAGCCCCACCCACCAGGACCACGCCACACCACACCACCACACCACCGCCCCATGCCCCGCCGTTTTCAGCTTTTGGATTGGCTGCGCCCCGCTGGTGCAATCAGGTGCGTGCGTTACATGGTGGCAGGGTGGGCAGCCTTCTCCCTCAGAGAAATATGGCCTTAAAGACCACCAGCAGCAGCATGACAACCACCGCCACCAGCAGCATCATGATGCACAGCACCATGCGGCTCTGCTTCTGCTTGCGCTCCGCCTTCTCCAGCTGCCGCACCCCCTCCTCCACCTTCATCGACGTCTGCACCGCGGGGCAGGGCGGGAGGCAGCGGCTCAGCAGCCCGCAGGCCCTCCCGATGCCCTACCAAGCGTGCACACAGGCTGGCCGCCAGCAGGCACCAACCGGCAGCCTGCCACACCTGCCACACCTGGCTGCCTGCGGGGCCCTCCCCTCCTCTCCTCCACCACCCACCTGCTCCATGTTGTAGTCTATTCGGTCCAGGATGGTGCCCTGGTCGATCACCAGCACGTTCAGGTCCTTCATGATCTGCAGCAGGCACCGGGGGACAGGGCAGGGCATGAGGGAGGTGTGGCGGGGACAGTTGGGTTGGGGGGTGGAGTGGCGGGGCGGTAGCCAGGAACAATGGCAGGGCCAGCCGACCTGCCGGCCTCCTGCCGGCCGCCGTCCCAGGGACCCTTCCAACAGCGGCCCAGCTGCCTGTCCAGCTGCGACACACGCACAGCCACGCGCGCGCTCACACACACAAGCCACACACGAACACACACACACACACACACTCTCTCTCTCTCTCTCTCTCCTCTCTCGCACACACACACACACACCACACTAGGGGCCACACCTGCGCCAGCTCGTTGATGGAGGCCACAATGTTGTGCACCTCGCGGTCACGCTCATCAATCAGGCTGGTCATGGTGTCGACCTTGAGGGCCTGCGCAGGCAGGAACGGAGGTGGCATGGGAGCAGGCAAGCGTCGTCGGCAGCAGCAGGGACCAGGCAGGCGAGACCCGGTGAGGGTAGAAACACATGAGGCCGGGCGCCGGCGCCCAGGAGCAGCGCCTGCAGCTGCAGGATCTGCTCTTCCGCTGCCCTGCCTGCTCCCCGCCCCAGCATGCCTGCATGTCTGAGAAGCCGGGGTCGTAGTCATCATCCTGCCGCCCCCTGGACCCATCTTCCAACAGGTTGAGCCCGCCGCTGCCGCCCCCGCCGGCGCCCCCGCCGCCGTCCTTGCTGCGTAGCCGGTTCAGGTAAGCCTTCTGCTGCTTGCGGAACTGTATGGAGAGCCGCTGCAGCTCTACCGCCAGCGTGCGCTGCAGCAGCACAGCGGTGCCAGGCAAGGTGGGTTGGCGCGCGCCACAGCGGCGGCAGTCCGCCAGCTCTGAGGCTGGCAGGGCGCAGCTGCACGCACCCGCCAACAATCAGCAGCCAAACAGTGCTGCGCGATGGACGCCTAGCACTGCATGCATGCAGGTTCGCCGCCCGCCTGCTGCCCCACGCCGGATCGCTGCCCCACAGGCACGCGTGCGTGCCCAGGGGGCGCGCGCGCCCACCTGCACATTGCGCTTGACCTTGTCGTCGGCCTCGCTGGCGCTGGGCTCCGTGCCAAACTGCTGCAGCCGCGCCTCGCACTTGCGGAACATGCGCGTGATCTGCTGGGTCAGCACCTCCACCTGCATGGGGTGGTGCAGTGCGCAGCAGGCCCAGCACACAGAGTCAGGCAGGCTTCGGAGACATGGACGGGGCTCCGGCTGGCCAGCCTCCAGCGACGGCCCACCAGCGCATCGCTTGGCCCTCCCCACTTGCCCTGGCCTCGCCATGGCCCCACCCACCTGCACCTCGTCGTCGTTTGTGTCGTCAAACCTGCTGAGCGTGGCCTTGCCGTGCAGCGCCCGCAGCTCGCCCATCTTCTGCTTGATTCCCAGCATCTCGCTGCAGGCCAGGCCAGGCAGGCAGGCAGGCAAGAAGTCTGTCCTGCAGGCACTCGGCAGGCAGGCAGCAGCAGCACACACACAGGAAGCGGAACAGAGGCAGGCGGCAGCCGACGGCCACCGCAGCCCCCAGGCGTGGCTCTTCGGCAGGCTGGCTCACAGCCGGATCTGCTCCTTGAACTCGACATACTGCGGCGGCAGCGCGGCGGCCACGCCTGCTAGCCCCGCCTCGGCGCTGTCCAGGCCGCCGCCCAGTGCCGACGCCATGAGCCGTGCCGTCTCCAGGCTGCGGAAGCAGGCATCCGGCAGCGGGCAGGGCAGGACAGGTGAAGTCGTCCGTTGGTATGTCGTTGCTATGGGCAGGCAGCTGATTCCAGGGTGGGGCAGAGGAGCAAAGCTGCCACGCTGAGGTGTGAGCTTGGAGGCACGGAACGGAGGCAAGACTGGGCCGCCGCACAGGCAGCCGCGGCAGCGCTGCGGCGCCCTTACCTCTCTCCTGCTATGTCCGCTGTTGGTGCCAGCGGGCGGCTGCCGCCCCGCGCCTGGCGGCGGTATTTGAGGAAGAGGTCGGTGCGGTTGCGGGTGGTGCCCAGCGGGGCGCCGCCGCCGCTGCTGGAGGTGCCGCCCCCGCCGCGGGCCTCCACCTCCACCGCGCTGCCATAGCCGCCGGGCTTGCCGCGCAGCGCGGCCATGGGGGCCCCAGGCCTGCCAACCACACGCGGCGCGCTGGGTGCTGGTCAGCTCAGGCCTTTGACTCTCTCCGCCCAGCTGTCTATGCCCCGTGCAGCGTGCAAGAGACTGGGAAAAGCGAGCAGCCTGTAGCGCAGAAGGTGTACCGAGACTTCAAAGCTGCGATCCTCGGGCTGCAAGCTCTGCACGGCAACCAGAGAAGTTCAGAGAGTAAACAAAGACGGCATGCAGGCGCAGATCGCAACGGAGAGCTCCCAGGCACAGTGCAAGGTGCCCGCCAGCGGGAGCCAGCCTGGCGGGGCGCAGGCGAGCGTGGCGGCAAATGCCAGGCTTGCTTGCTTGTTGCTTGTGTGGGCTTAAAGTCTGGTAAAGCAAGAACTAGCTTGCAACATAGACTCCCCGCCGAAACGGGACGGGAACCGGGCGAAAGCAGAGAAAGCAATAAAACAGGGGTGGAGCAAGGCGACATGCAACGCAAGCAGCTGACAGGGCACGCATCGAAACGCTGGGCTGGGCCTTGCCCGCTCCAAGAAGCCAGGGTGGATCAATGATAGACTGGGATGCGCACGTTTCTCCAGAGCTGGCAGCAGTTCTCAGGCAAGGGCTTCATTTACGGCGGCGACAGCGCCACGTGGCACCTCGATGGCCGCCTCGCATTGTCTCACTTTGTCTTGCCTTCCTGAGTGGAACCCGCTCAAGGAGAGCCCTTGGCTGAATGCAAACATCATCACAGCGGGTAAGGGGGTGGCATGGTATGGGAAGACGGCAAAGCAGATGACGGTAGATGATTGGGGTGGTGTGTGTGGAAAGACTAGGAGAGGGTGGAATGGGAGGCAGGGGAAAGGCGTGGAATGATGGGTATGGGAAGGGGCAGGAGACAGCAGAAATCGAATCAAAGACAGGGCTAATAATTGCAGGACAATGTTAATATAAGCAGAGGGCGTGCAACAGGCAGCGGGCAGCACAGAGCGCAGCCACTGTCACCCACATCCGGCTGGCTGGGCTGGCCCTGAACTAAGGCCCTGATGTGCATAAGGCAATGGGCCAGCTGCTGCTGCGATGTGCACTCCAAAACAGGAGTGTCAGGGGATCATTCATACTGAAATGGACTGGGGGAGGTGGTCTGGAGCCAGAAGAAGCGGAGGCAGCTTCGGCTTCGGCTGCGGCTGCAGCGGCAGGCAAGGGCAAGGCATGCTAATCGATCATACTAGAAGGATTGGGGCACAAAGTGAAGCTCATTCTACAGGGGAGCAGACGGTGCTAGTGTATTGGGGGCGCTAGGAAAAGCTCATGATCAGCAGGGGAGCGGTGTGTGGGGGGGAGGGAGGGGGTTGAAGACTGGGGCCGCGCGGCAGCACATTGGGCCCCGCAGGCCGGAATTGAGCCCAATGCTCGCTCAGGAGCATGTATGGGGGAATGGTAGCTGGCTTGGCAGGTGGTGCGGTGCGGCTGCCTTACTGGCAGAAGCCGAAGAAACAAACCACGCGATCTGCTGCGCAGCAATCAGCGTTCCGATTTGCCAAGGCTTTGTGCGCTGGTTGGAGTCGGCGATGGCGGCCGCCCCTGCCGGCATGGCGCCATACCGTGCAGAGCAGATGCATACGAAGCAGCTGCTCCTTGCCCTCCTTCCCCAGGCCGCACTGCTGCAGCTGCTGAGACGAGGTGCACTTTGTCGCCCGCCCGCAATGGCCAGCCAGGCATCGCTTCCTGCAGGCGGCAGGTGCCGCCTGCAGGAAGCCGCTCTTGGCGGCACCGCCACCTGGGAGGCTGAATCCTGCCGAGACTAAATGCACTGCTGCCACACCTTCCGCGTGTTCATCTTATCACAGCGCACGCGTGTGCCTGGCTCTAAATAGACCAACAACACTCGTTGACCACATGCACGGCTAGATACACCTGACGACGAGCACTGCAAGGCCTGCAAAATGTGCTGAATAGTTGAACTCACACTGTCCTGCGGTCTCAACAGCACCACACAGAAACCCAGTGACTGTGCCCACCTGGCAAGGCAGAGGTGCCTCCCTCGCGCACCTCGCGAGGGCCCTCAGAGACAAACCCAGCACGTGTCTCTTACATTTAGCTGCGCTCCATCTTTGTTAACATCAGCAGCAGGCCAGCCGCAGCGCCCGATGGCCTCCCACTCGCGACAGGGCAGCCTTGCGTAGCCCTCTCCTACCTTCCAACAAAGATCAGGGCACCATGGCCAAGTGGGAGCGGGAGGAGGAGTGGAGGGGCCTGCTGCACAAGGCAGCCAAAAAGGCCAGCCGCGACAGCATCGATACCCTTGCGGACATCGCGGTGCGCGATGACAAAATGGTGAGGGCGCGGGGCCCCAGGGGAGCGCCGGTGGGCTAGCTGTTTGTGCCGTCACGACGTGCGCCGCAGCCGCCTCCGCCAGCATTCTGCTTCCGCCGCAGCGTGCACACAGCATGTGCACAGGTTGTCATGCGCAGCGGCGGCCTTGGGCCTCCTCTTTGCGAGCTTGTCAGACTTGTAACTTGTCAGGCGCCACGACCGCTGCCGCTGCCGCCGCTTCTGCCGCTGCCTGGCCGCAGGCGTACAAGGCTGTGTGCGCCCTGATTGTGCACGAGATGAAGCAGCTGAAGCCGGCGTACCGCCTCAAGCTGCTGTACGTCATGTCAGCCATCCTGCGCCAATCCAAGAGCCGGCGGGGCGAGCGGGACAAGTATGGTGAGCGGCCGGGCTGCCGGCAGCGGCGGCTGCGTGGGCGGCACACCCAGCAGCTTCAAGGTCTGAAGCCCGAAGCGCTGCCCAGAGGCGCCGCAGGCGGCTGCTGCCCGCGCCAAGCGCAGGGCACGCGCAGCGTGGGCCGTCAGGCGCGGGCGTGGGCCGGCCGCGAGGAGCGTCCGCTGGCCGGCCTCGCACCCCTCTCACCACCCCACCCTCGCCTGACCCCTTGCCCGCCGCTCTGCAGCGCCGCGCTTTGCGCCGCTGCTGGGCAGCGTGGCAGACCTGCTGGCGCCGCTTCCCGGGGAGCAGCTGGCTTCAGTGCTGAAGGTGCTCGACCTTTGGTGGTGTGACGACATCTTTGACCCAGCCACCACAGCACGGCTGCAGACGCGCTTCAAGAGCCTGCTGGAAGGGGCCAGGGCCGGGGGCGGCGCCGGCAGCAGCGGCGGCGGCGGCGGCGGCGGCGGCGGAGCAGCGCAGGCTGTGGCGACGTCGGCCACGGGCGCTGCGGCGGTCGCCGCGCAGCACGCGTATCAGCAGCAGGCGCAGGCGGCGCAGGCGCAGCAGCACAGCAGCCCGCGCGGCGGCACCCTGCTGTCTTCCATGTCGCCGGGCAGCATCTCGGCGGGACCGCTGGGCTGGGAGGCGGCGCCCGCCAGCGCGGCAGCCAGCCTGGGGCAGCGGGCGGCAGCCGGGCCGCCGCCCTCTCTCATGAGCAAGGCTGCTGGAGTGGCCGCGGGGCCGGCGGCGGCGGGAGAGTCGCTGAGCAGCGCGCCGCGGGCGGCGGCGGCGCCGCCGCCGCTGCACACGGTCGGCAGCAGCAGCCAGCTGCTTCCGCAGCAGAGCGCAGAGGCGGCGCCGCCACTGCAGCAGGCATACGACCCCCTGGATGCACCAGAGGATGGCGCCCAGCCAGGCGGCGGCGCAGCAGGCAGGCAGGCGGCCGCGCCCGGGCTGCCGCTGCCTCCGCCTCCGCCGCTGGCAGGCCAGGCGGCGCTGCCTCCGCCACCTGGCGCCCCTGGACTGCCGCCACTACCAGCAGCAGCGAGCGCCTGGTTTGTGCAGCAGCAGCAGCAGCAGCAGCAGCAGCCATATGCCGCACGGCCTGCATCGGCGCCCTGGTCGGCTGCGCCGCAGTTCCCGCCTGGCGAGCCGCCGCAGCCACCGCTGCCTCCCCCTTATCAGGCGGGCCTAGGCGCAGCAGGACACGCGCAGCCGCCGCCGCCTCCTCCTCCTCCCCCGGGGGATTTCTTTGCGGCGGCGCCGCTGCCCCCAGCGCCCCCGCCCGCGCCTGCAGCAAACGGTGGCGCGGCGGGCAGCCTGGCAGCCGTGCCGGCGCTGGCGGGCTCGCCAGCTGCGGGGCGCAAGCGCAAATCGCGCTGGGATGATCACTAGGCAGCCTATAGGGCAGGGCGGGCACATGCCCCCACAGGCAGCGCGTTCCCTGCCCTCTCCGCTGTGCAACATGACTTGACATGCTGACTGCCCTGCTGTTGCTCCTTCTGCGCTCGACATGTTGGCTGCTGCACGTTGCCCTCCAATTGTTTGCCCCATGGCGCGCGGCGACTCTCCTGCTCCACCCCTCGCCACACACGGCCCGCGGGCTTGTTGTTGAATCACATTGCGCAGAGGGAAGTTTGAGAGCAAAACTGCAAGAGGAGGTTATTGCGTGCTGGCGCCGGGAGGTGGGCGGGCGCAGCTGGGCCTGCCCGAGGAGCAAGCGAGGAGCGAGTGGCAGTATCAAAAGGCTCCATAGGAGCGGCAGGTGGACAGAGGTACAATGCATGAAAGGGGGGACAGATGTGGAAGGGGCTGGGGTCCTATGCTGCACAAAAGAGTCGGCCGCCCAGCCGCCACCGCAGCAAAAATGAAGACGGGCACTCCTCAAGTCAATTCTAGCGCCAGCATGGCAGGGAAAAGAGGGCCCGCAGGGCGCGCAGCTTCACATGACCACGCACTTGCCGTGGCCGCCAGCAGGGCCAGCCTGCTGCTCAGCCTCTGCCTTGCGTGGCTGCTGGCCTGGGCGCGAGGCAGCGCACGCGGCTTGCGCCGGGCATTGCTGCTCCCGCTGCCGCTGCTGCTGGGCCGCTGCTCCAGGCGCAGGCGGTGCCGCCGCTGCTGCCGGGTCATAGCTACCGCCGGCGCCAGCATGCGCGGGCGGCCCGAGCTGCAGCGGCGGCGGCTGGCGGCCCCGGGGCCGCGCCTCGCCATCCGCCGCCTCCGGCACGCGCGGCAGCGGCACCGCGGCGGCGGGCGACTCCAAGCCTTCAGAGGCAGCCTGCTCCAGCGCCTGCAGGTGGTCATCCACATCCAGGGCAGCCAGCTCCGCCTGGCTCTCCTCCCGAAACAAGTCGGCCAGCGCCTGCGGGCCCCGCGCAGTCGCCACGCCGGCAGCGCCGCCCAGCCTGCAGGCGAAGCAGCGGCGCCAGCCAGAACAGCGCGCGGTTGGATCGCAGGCCGGGGCGAGGCGCCGACACGATGCCCGCCAAAGGGCAAAGGCAGCGCGCCTCGTCCACAACCCTGCACTGCCCCGCCACGCCCCCGCCACGCCCAGTGCTCGCACCTGAGGTGGTGCAACGCCTCGCGCATGCCAAAGCCCAGGCTGGGGTTGTCGCTGTCGATGCTGACGGAGCGCTGGAAGCCCTGGCGCGGCTGGCTGCCGCTCAGCGCCGACGGCGTCGCCGTGCTGCTGGCGGGCGTGGCGGGCGTGCCCGGCTGCTGCTGCTGCTGCTGCTGCGAGGGCTGCTGCGAGGGCTGCTGCGGCATGCCCTGGTGCGACGGCCCCGCACGCAGCGCCGGCAGCGGGATGCCTCCTCGCCGCGACGGCGAGCTGCCCAGCGTGCCGGCGCCCGATTCCGCTGGCCTGCCAGATGCACAGCCCCCCTCGCAGCCGCTGCTGCTGCTGCGGCAATACATGTCCACCACAGCTGTCGCGTCTGCGTCGGCCGTGCAGCTGCCGTTCCCGACAGGCTCTGCGGCGGCGGCCGTGGGGCCCTCTGCTGCTCCTTGCTGCTGCTGCTGCTGCGGTGGCGGCGGCGCCGGCTGCGGCTGCTGCTGCTGCTGCACGGTTTCCGATGATGCGGGCCTGCCTGCCGGCTGCGGCATGCCCAGGGCTGCTAGCCGCTCCTCGTCCCAGTCCGCCGCCGCTGAGATGGGGGCCACGGGGCTGGGCGTGCCATTGTTCTGCAAAAAGTCCTCGCTCAGCGCCCTGCAGCCGGCCAGGGCCAGGGAGCAGGCGGCAAGACGAGAAAGCGTCGGGCCATGCAGCAGCCAACGGGCAGGTCGACCACTTGCGACCGCATGAACACAGCATGCGCGGTGGCAAATGATGTTATGCACTACACGGGAGCTGCCGGCGGCGAACAGCGTGGCGAAAAGCCAGGCAGGCGCCCCCAGCGCTCACTTGGCCAGCCCCAGGCTGGTCGTCCGCCGCATGCTGCCGGCCACGGCGCCCTCCAGGTGCACCGCGGCCGCCGCAAAGTCGCTCATGCTGGAGGTGCCGGTGCGGATGCCGCTCACGGGGCTCGTGCCGCCCGCCGCCAGCGAGCCGGAGCTATGCGGCGAGCCGCCCGAGGGTCGCCGCGGGCTGCCCGCCAGCGCCTGCGACAGCCCCCCGCCGCGAGAGGCCTTGCGCAGCAGCAGCTTGCGGCTGGCCGTGAACCCCACGCCCGCGGACGTCGCCACCGACGCATCCTCAGCACCCTCCCCGGCCTCCGCCTCGCCCGCGACTGCCATCTCGGCCAGGCTGCCGCCGTGACGGCTGGGGTTGCGGCTGCTGGCCGCGGAGCCGCCGCGGCTGGGCGTGGAGGCGGCGGGGGAGGTGCCCGCTAGCGTGCCCTCCCCGCCGCTGCTCCTGCGCGACAGGCTGCGGCGGCGGTGCGAGCGGCGCCGCACCATGTCCGCGGCATCCTCAAACGCGTGGTCCTCCTCCTGCTGCCGCCCCGCGCCGGGGCCAGGCGCCGCCGCAGTCGCGCCGGCAGCGGGGAGCATCGCGGCGGCGCCGGCGGCGCCGTCGGCGGCCAGAGCTGCGGCCTTGGCGGCGCCCTGCTGCCGAAGCAGCTCCGCCTCCGCGGCCAGGGCATCCACCGCGGGGCAGGCCGGCGGCGAACCGCCCAGCACGCTGCTGGTCTCCGGGGTGGCGGCCAGGCTGGGTGCGGCGCTGCCGTACCGCGCGTACAGCTCCCGAATGAACTTGTCGTGCTTCACGCCGGGAGGCCGCGCCGCCGCAAAGCTCTCCAGCGCCTGGTCCACGCTCAGCCCACAGGCCTGGCACAGGTAGGAGCAGACCACGAAGCCGGTGCGGTTGAAGCCTGCAGGGCGTAGGCACAGGGTGGGGCGAGGGCGGGGTGGGTGGGTGCCGGCGGCCGGCCGTGGCAGGGCCCCCAGCACAGACCCTGGCGGGCAGCCCAGGAGCGCTGAGCGGCAGCGGCTGCGCGTCAAGCATGCGACCAAGGCCCCCGCCGCTGCAACTGGTACGCCCGCCGCTGGAGGGCCATGCAGGACGGCCATACAGGGAGGCGTGTGCAGAGCGGGAGGCCCGGCCCACCATAGGCGCAGTGGATGGCGATGAACTTCTCCGGGTGCTCCCTCCAGAAGCTCTTGGCGATGCGCTCCACCTCGTTGATGGCCTCCCGCGACGGCAGCACCTTGGCAATCAGCTGCGGCAGGCGCAGGGTGGGGGTGGGGCGCGGTGGGCAGGCAGGCAGGCAGGCGGCGAGGCGGGGCCCGTGACGCGGCGCATGCGTGTGCCGCTGCCGCGCCTGCTGCCGCGTTGCGGGAGACGTCCCCCACCTGCACGTGCTCATACTCCAGACTATCCAGCATGTCGTCCGAATACCTGCACCCAGAGCAGCCCAGCGCAGCAGGGGAGCGGGAGGCTGCGTCGGCGGGCAGCGGCAGCATGGGCTGAACAGCCGGCTGTGCCCATCACCAAGCGCAGCCTGGTCATGTAAAGACACAAACGCGTGCATGCAGCCGAGCGGGGGGGGCCTCGCTGGGCCCAGCCTCACAGGCAGTCGTGGTTGGCGAGGTCGATGACGAGCCCCACATCCCGCCCCGCCGCCTCCTGCTGCGCCAGCAGCAGCGGCACCGTCAGCGCGTGCTTGGGCGCCTCGGCCAGGCTCCAGTTGTCCAGTATCTCCCGGCTCATGGGCGTCTTCATGGGGATGAAGTGGGTGGGCCACACGGGCCTGCCCGTGGCCTCGTAGTTGGCCTGCACAGCGGATCGTGGGGCGGCGGCGGGCACTCGCGTGAGCGGCGCCGAGACGGGATGTGCGCCCCCAGGCACCCAGGCCTGCGGGCCGCCGCAACAGCACATGCATGCTGGTGGTGGAGCCCAGCCGCAGCCCAGCCAACGCACCCATTTCTGGAGCTTGTTGAGCACAGAGGGCGTCGTGTCCTCCTCTTCCGCCCCCGCTGCCGCGGCGGGGTTGCCCTCCGCCGCCTGCTCCATGCTGCAGTCTAGGGGCTCCGCCTCCGACCCGGGGTTGAATCCCACCAGCCGGGCGCGGGATAGCTGCCCCTCTATCGTGGCCGCCATTTTGATGCGACTGCTGGAGCTCTGCAGGCGACAGCAGCTAGCACGCTTGAGATCGCTCCATCACTTCAAGGCGGTGGGAGGCGCGCCCGTTTCGGAGGCCTGAGAGGGCAGGAAACCGGGCGGGAGGGGGCTGGCGAGCAGCCCTGCGCCTCTGATGGACCCTTAAACGTTGATTAGATTGGGATATGCGGGTCAAGCGCTCTGGGGCCGCCTGCTGCGGCTCGCGAGTTTCTTCTGCCGCGAGTTTTTCTTCTGGCCCGAAGCCTGGGAGATGTCATGATCAACCCTGATCCTCCTGCCGCCTCTACCACGGATATCGGAAGGCCAGCAGGGTGCCGGCAGTAGAACCTTTTTGTGTTGCTGCTTGGGCTTCACATCATCCCGCTGCCTCTCTGTTCCGGCCCCTTGCCCGATCCTTACCATGCGGCTGCCGGATATCTCTGAGCTGAAGGAGAACAAGGCCGTGCTGGGGGCAGCTGCAGTGACTGCTGCCGTGGGTGGCGGACTTCTGCTGAGGCGCGCTTTGAGGTGCGCGGAGCGGCTCCCTGGCATCAGAGGGCATGATGCAGGACTTCCCATGCCCTCCTGCTTGCCCGCCCGCTCCGAACCGACGCCTCCACCTGCAGGCAAACCAAGCCGATCGCCGGCCCATACAAGCCCGGCACGCTGCCCGAGGGATGCTACGATGCGATCATCGTGGGCGCAGGTGAAGGCGGGGGAGCGGGGCGTTGCCAGGGGCGCGACGACGGCAGCTTTGCGCTGGCCGCCACCCGCTCAACTTCCCTCGCCTGCTCGACTCTGGCGGCATCAACACTGCTGGCAGGCGCTAGTCGCACTTGCACATCGTGTTGAGCAGCAACGGCGGTCTGCAGCCGTCGTTGCTGCGCCGGCGGCATCAAACCCACGGCCCCTTTCGCCCATCGTGTTTCACTGTTTTTCTCGCCTCCCTCGCGTCGGAAACTCACCCGGTGCAGGCCCCTCGGGCTCCGTCTGCGCCTTCTACATGGCCCAGGGCGGCGCCCGCGTGGCGCTGCTCGACAAGGAGCACTTCCCGCGCGACAAGATCTGCGGCGACGCGGTGTGTACCCCCGCCATCCGCATCCTGGAGGTGCGCCTCACAGCCTGCCGGCCCTGCCATCACCTCAGGAAGCCGGGCAGGCAGCACCTGGCGGAGGCGTCCCCGGGTTGCAGGCTGCCCCCAGCTCCTTTGATGTGCCAGCTCTTTTGATGTGCCACGCCTCGCTGCTGATGCTGATGCTGATGCTGATGCTGATGCTGATGCGGCTGCGGCCGCTTGCTGCAGGACATGGGTGTGATTGAGGAGCTGCGGAAGGCAGACGAAGTCAAGTTTGCCGACAACGGCGGCTTCATCTCGCCCTCGGGCCTCGAGTACATCGGTGCGCCCCGCTGCAGCGCCACAGCAGGCAGCCGGCAGGCGGGCGGCTGGCGGCGGGCCCGACCAGCAGCAGCAGCAGAAGCAGCTGCTGCAGTCTGTGGTGGCAACGCCACAGGCAGCACTGCCGCGGCAGCAGAGCATCGCTGGCGCACGGGATGCCCGCCCACAACAAGCCGCGTGCCCCGTGCCACCCACCCAACACCGCGGCCTGGCCCTGCAGGCAACTCGCAGCACAAGCTGGGCACGGCGGCGGCCTGCGCCGTGCGGCGCATCGACCTCGACGTTCGGGTGGCCAGGGCCGCCAGGCGGGCGGGGGCGGAGCTGATGGAGGGGTTCGAAGTGGGGCGGGACGTGGCGTTCAGCCCGGAGGAGGGCCTCTGGACCGTCAAGTCAATCGACGTGCGAGCAGGCCGTTGTTCTGAATCCCCCTTGCCCCTTTCTCTTGTGCTTTTTTCCAAGGATGCTGTTGCTGCTGCCGCTGGGCTGCTCCGCCATGGCGCTGGCGCTGCATTGTAGCGCCGCCGTGGGTGCTGAACGGCTGCTGGCCGGCCGGCTGCTGAGGGGCCGCGCCCCTCCTGCCTGCCCCTGCCTGCAGGGCAAGGTGGTGCGCGGCCGCATGCTGGTGTGCGCCGACGGCTCAACCTCCCGCCTGGCCACCCAGCTCGGCTATTGCACAGCACCCCCTGAGGTGAGAGCTTAGTGGTCGCAGCCAGGCAAACCCTCGGTCCTGCTTCCAGCAGCTGAGGCTCCCTGCACCTGCAGCTCCTTCTTGCAACCTGGTCGCCCTGCCGTCGCCATCCCCATCGCCGCCCCTCGCATCTCCCTCCCCTCCCTTGTCTGCCTGCCCCGCAGGGCGTCTCCTCCCGCGCCTACATCGCCGGCGGCTCTCACAATGCCAACTTTGACGGCCTCGTCTTTTACCCGCGCTGGTCGCTGCCGGGGTGGGTGGCGCCTGGGCAGGCGCGCCGGCACGCGGCGCCTGCGCTTGCATGCGACACAAAGCCAACCCATTCTTGCCGCTTCAGTTTGGACTGTCCAACCTGCTCTCCTACTCCACCACGCCCTCCCCCCGCATGCACGCCCCACACAACAATCACCATCCAACACCACAAACCAAACCGACACCACAAAACAAGCAAGACTAACAAAAACAGACTCATCATCGCCTGCCCGCTGCCCGTCCCTCCCCCCGCAGGTACGCCGCCATCTTCAAGCACTCCAAGGACGAGCTGGGCTTCTGCTACTACCTCATCCCCTGCGGCGGCAAGCAGGGGCAGATGGGATCCTGCACGGTGGGCGCTGCCGCCTGCCGCTGCCGCGCCCACACATGGCTGCAGGCGGCGCGCCTTGAAGCCGGCCTGCAGCTGCCTGCAACCGGATGCACTCCCAGCCATCCGCGCCACCACACACGCCTTTGGAGCAAGCAGCACACATGGAGCCTTGCCTCTTCCCCTACCAACCATGGCCTCGTCACCCGCATTGCAGGCTGAGGACCTCAAGCGGCTGCACGAGAGCGCCATCAAGCACGACCCCTTCATCTCCCGGGCCATGGGGCCCAACCCTAAATGCGAGCGCATGCGCGCCGGTTCTCTGCGCGTGGGTGGCCAGGGTGAGCGCCGGCTGCAGCAGCGGCTGGTTGCTGGTTGCTGCTGTGCTGATTGCTGTTGTGGCGCTGCCGCGATGTAGCGTCCCTCCTTGCGGGTGCCGAGGGCTGCCCGGGCTGGCACCGCGCAGGGCGGGGCGGCTGTGCCTGCTCGGCTCCCTCCTGCACCTCCTGGTGGGTCATAGCCTGTCTCGCTTGCCTGTGCCGCTTGCTCGTACCGCAGGCCTCACCACCACCTATGACGACCACCTCATCATTGTGGGGGATGCGGCCGGCTTCATCGACCCGCTGACTGGTGAGCTACGGGTGGTGGTGGTGGTGGTGTGCTGGAAATCTTGAGGACAGCCAGGCGCCGCCCAGCAATGCTCCTGCTGCTCACGCACCGCATCTTCAGGCCTAGTGCCGATGCCCCCTGTCTCTTCTCTCCCATCGCTTCCCACCAACCCTGCCCCAACTCCCTGTTCGCCCCTTTTCTGTGCCTCGGCGCAGGCGAGGGCATCCACACGGCCATGATGGGCGGCAAGGCGGCGGCGGAGGTGCTGCTGGCGTGCCGCGAGGCGGGAGACTACTCCCGCAGGTCCACCCGCCTGTACGAGCGCCGCTGGATGGAGCTTTTTGGGCACGACTTCAAGCTGGTGGGTTGGTGACAGAAGGAAGCGCGGGCAGCAGGGCTGCAGGGCACGCAGAGCGCACCAAGTCACGACAGCGCAGAGAGCAGCCGGGAGCAGGGCTGTACGCTGGTGGTCTTGCGTCGCTTGCCTGCGCACCCCTGCCCCTCTGTCTGCCGCCAACCCCTGCCTCCTCTGCGATCCACCTCCCGTCCCCGATGCCCAGCCCACCCCCACCTCCACCACCCCCACCACCTGACCCCTGCTGCTGCCGCTGCCGCTGCCGCTGCCGGTGCAGTCCCAGAAGGGTGCGGAGCTGATCTGGAAGTATCCCATCCTGCTGGATGCATGCGCTAACGAGGTGCAGCGGCAGGGCGATGCCATGATGGTCAAGTGGGCAGAGGTGGGTGGCCCTGGAGCCGCACGGAAGCTGCGGAGCTGGGAGGCGGGCCATGTATGCGTGAGGGGCCACGCTTGGGCTGGCTGGAGTCGGCGGCTGGCCGGCGTGCTCCGCCATCTGCCGTAGCACGCGCTGCGGGGGCGGCCTGTTGGCTGCTATGCGTTTGCGCGCCAGCTGATTGGGTGCCGGCGCTTGCTGACACGCGTGCTGTGGTCACGCGGTGCGCCAGGTCATGACCGTGCAGAGTCAGAGTGACTGTGTTGCAGCGTACACTCGACGCTGCACTGCAAGTTGTGCTTCTTGCACTGTCAGCTGACGTCGTTGCCAATCCCTTAAACCCAATGCCAGGTGATGACCAACCTAAAACCCAAGACCTACTTCCTGCGCCCCGACGTCGCCATCCCGCTGGGCTTTGCCCTGCTGCGCGAGATCTGGCAGCAGAAGGTGGGTCTCGGTGTGGGGAGGGTGTTGCGTGTGCCTGTGCGTCTGCTAGTGGGATGCAAGGCAGGCGCGGCGCGGGGTGTGATGGAGGGTTCGGGAGTGAGGGTGCGCTGTGCACGGCAGCTGGCCATGCAAGCGGCTCTCTGTGGCTGCTTGCAGGTTGTGGGTCGCCCCAGCGCGTATGTCATGCCCCCTGATCATGATCAGCCCCAGCCCCGGATCGTTGCCTCTCATGAGGCCCCGACCAAGTAGAGCAACATCGGGTCGGCATGCGTCCGGGCCACCCTGCTTTTAGTGCAAACCTCTCCAGCTCTTCCGGGATCCACTCACCTCTTCTTCGTTGCTGTGCTGCTATTCATCCACCTCGCCGCCGCCACCCAACGCAGTCCCGCCACTGACACCCGACTCCCGCATGCTATCCCCGCCACACTCACATTTGATTTGCAACAGCTGCTGCTGCCCCAAACGAACACGCTGCTAATGGCCTTCTCCCAAGCCAGCACTCTGTCCTGGCTAGGGAGGCGCCACTCTCTAGTTCAGGTCTGTCCCTCCCCTCCCTGTAAATTGCCCAGTCCAACAAGGCACCACTATGGCAGGTGTTACATCATGCAGCGCCATAGTGCTGTACAGGGCATTCTCTGGTGCGTGGAGGGCAGCCATCGACACCGGGCAGGCAGTTGGAGATCTTGAAATGAGATATGATCAGATGGGGGTATCTGAGATGGGCGGGGGTCCTTGAGACGGCCGCTATCAAAGTTAGGGATTCATTAGCCTCCTAATATACAGCATGCAGCAGGGGCTGCGATGATATGCAAACCAAAACCAAAACGGGATGGGGATCTCTACCAGGGGGGGAGGCTCTTGGGCCGTTGCTGTCGAATTGGGTTTGTTGTTGAGTTTCGGGTTGGGTGCCAGCCGGCGCGAGGGCTGCTTGGGTTGGGTGCTGTGCTGCTGGGGGGCGGGTGCTGGGTGCTGGCTGGACTGGACACCGGGAGTGGACAATGCCACAATTTGCAAAGCACGGACTACCGTGCTTGCCTGGCAGCTGCCGCGTGCTGGGCTGAAGCTGGCAATCGCCATATCAGACGGTGGTCGGCACCGTCCCGGCAGCGGTGGTGGTGGTGGTGGTGGTCTGGCCCACAGGCACAGTTGTGTAGGCAGTGCCATGGACTGCACAGCCAGCCAGAGGCGACACACGAGCGGGTGGTGAGGACGAGGCTTAACATTGAGCGAGGCTGCGCATGAGCAGAGCTGCTGCTTTCTGAGCGACATGCGCATATGCCACTGGTCTCCAGCCCAGCTGCACCTGCAGCAGCCAAAGCTCCTCACCTTCCTCGCGTTCCTTGTAAGCGACTTCGCCGCGCTCTTTTCGAGTAGTCTTGTCGTCGTGCCAGCCGATGAACAGGATGAGCAGCAGGTCGGCCGCGGCGGCGATGGCGGCGCCCGCCACGGTTGTCCTGGTGCGGCGGGCCATCGTGGCTGGAGGCAGGTGCGGCAGGCAGGCAGGGAAGGTCATCTAGATGCGCTGACAGGCACCAGGCTTGGTGTGCAGCGGTGTGTTGCACGAACTGCCGCAGCCACGCGGGGTGCACGATGCCGGCATTCCCTGGCAGCCACTCTCAGCATGCCAGCTGTTGACAGCGGCAGCAGCTCACTGGTCAGGCCGGGGAGGTAGTTGTACCACAGAAAGGTGTTTGCTTCATTTATGTTGGGGGTTGTGCCAGTGAGAGGGTGGGTCAGCAGGGAGATGGGGAGAGCAGAGGGAGCAGGCAGGCAGGAGCATGCGCATGCGTGCGGCAGCGTCGCGGCCGCAGACAGGCGCCCATGCACCTGTGTCCATGAGAAGCACGGCGGCAGCGGCCAGGATGCCCACCAGCGCGGTCCTGCAGCCGAGAGGGGTAAAAAACAAATCGCCAGGAAGGCGAAAAAAAACGAGTTTTTCGACAAATTTTCACGTACCTGCTTTTGTGGAGGACGTTCATTATCATATAAACGCCTACCAAAAACCACGTGAATAGGTGAAACATAGTGATCCACCACCTGCAGGCAGAGAGGGGTTCAGGGTAATGCACGGCAACGGCATGTGGCAGCAGAACGAGTTGCTTGCAGGGGCACGGCATGCAGGCAGGCCACAGCAGCTCCAGCGCAGCGTTCCCACGTGTATTGGAACAGATGGTTGCAAGAGACGGGCGCCAGGTAGCTGCAGCAGGGGAGGCAGGCAGCGCATGAGGACAACATCGAGTGTTGGAAGCAGCAAAGCATGGCGCCCAGCGTGGCGGCACTGTTGCTCACCCCACGGTGCCGCCGCCGCCCTGGGTCAGCACAGTGGACAGGCCTCCGCCGCAGGCCTGCAGGCGGGGCAGTGAGCCAGCAGTCTGGCATGAGCCTGGCTGGGGCTGGCGCGCAGGAAGCTGCTTGACGGGCTAGGCAACCCATCTGGGGCGGGCGCCCCTCTCCTCGGCACCCCTCCCCGCCCCGCACACCTGCTGCATGGAGGCCACGCCTCCCAGCAGGATTGCAAAGCCGGCTGTGGACAGCAGCCAGGCCATCCAGATCAGGCCCTTGTTGCCGGTGACCGCGGGAGCCTTGGCCATGGTGGCGGTGTCTTGGTGAGAGGAAAGTCTGCAGGCGTGGCGGGAGTGGCGGTGGGGGTGCCGCTCAACTTCACTCTACCCGCGCAGCTCTGCTTGTCAAGAACGCAGAGGCGTGGAGCAGGGCTGGCCAGGAGCTGCTAGCGCCCTGCCAGCTTCCAGGTTCCCAGAGGAGAGCAGCCAGCCAGCTCGCTGGAGCGGAGCGCCCGGGGACCCTTGGAGTGCGAGATGCCTCTGCCCCTGAGCCCAGGCCAGCCTCGGAAGCAGCCAGCACAGGCAGAAACTGTGGCGCTGTGTCGTGGCAGCCAGAGCCGCGCAGCTTACCAGTCAGGAGCCAGTCAGGCCGCTCAGAACGGTTGTTCTCGACAGGGGAGGGCAGCACAGACTGGGCACAGGGCAAACGACTGGTGCAGAAGACCTTATGAGGTCCCCCCACCCGCCTTGTCATAGCGCGCTCGCCTCGTCCCGCCGCGGTCAAGGTTGCTGTTGCATCGCGTTCACACAGGCAGGGCGAGCTACACGCTCTCATTCATTCATAGCATATAGAAGGGTTTGGGTAGGGGACGAATTAAGTAATACACCGAGCAACGAATTGCAGGAACGAGGGTAGGAGGAGTGGCAGGAGACGTCTTGGTGCCGCGCTCAGTGCCGGTCCATTTGCTTCAGTGTCACGGCAGCGGCAGGGTCCTGCAGGGGTTTGGGGGCAGAGTGTATTCGTCACCAACCAATGCCCGGCACAGGTTGGGGCAAGGGAGGCATGGCCCGAAATGGCAGCGCCAAGCGCCGCACCTGCTTATTGAGGCCGATGAAGATCCAGACCTGTGGTGATGGAGGCGGGTGTGGCCGCAGGTGCAAGTGTATGAATTGTCAGGTTACGGGCGGGTCTGTTGCAAGCATGGTAGTGGCGCCGGCAGGTACAGGCATCCCCAGCCACAGCACCTGCAGAGCCCGGCGGCCCCATGTGCCTCACCTTGAACAGCGAGTCGAAGAAGACGGGGACGGTGGCCACGAAAATTTTGAGGGACTCGCCCTGCGCAGACACAGAGCGGCAGCAAGAAGGAGGAGGCGCATGGGAACGGCAGGGCGGGCAGGGAAGGTGTGACCTCAGCCTGGGCATGTGGCAATCACCCCAGCACCAGCACCAGGTGCATGCTGCCGCGTTGATACATCGGAGCAAGCAAGCGTGGACGCCGGTCCATGTTCACAGGGAACAGGGGGAGCCACCCACCTCCGCCTCCAGCCCGTAGTGGCCTGAGAAGATGCGCAGGAAGGCGGTCCAGCCCTCCTCAGAGTGGTAGCCAAGCAGGATGTCTGCAGGGGGCCGGGGCCAATGGGCGAGGCTGAGAGGGAGGCTCACAAGGAAGGTGGGATGAGGCCCGGCGGGGCTGGGAGCGATGCCAGCAGGTGCCAGCCTGTGCCGGCCTCTGCCAGCTTGTAAGCAGCTGCTGCTCTGTTCCGGGCTGCTTCGCTGGCTGCACAGCTGCACATTTGCCGCTGCTGCCTGCACCGCTGGCCTCTGCGCATGGCCGGACCGCCGCCGCCGGCGCCCTGCCCCGCCTGCCAGCCAGGCTCACCAGTGGTGAGGATGATGAGGAAGGCCTTGGCCGTGTCCGACAGGCCGGTGAACACGCGGCCGATGGTGCGGAACAGGATCTGGCGCTGCGGCACCTGGCGGGCCAGCATGACGAAGAACACGGTGGCAGAGGTGGTGTCTGCAGGGGGGTGCAGCAGTACGGGGATGGGGTGGGGAAACGAGGGGAGCTGCGCAGAGGCGTAGGGAGCTGTGCACCGCTGCGCTGGAGGGGGTGCGGCATGGGGGATGGGGTCGGGAGGCGAGGGGAGCTGCGCAGCGGCGCAGCGCAGCGCTGGGCTGCAGGGCCGCGGCTGAGGCGCAGGAGGAGGCAGCCCGCAGCGGCGGGCAGCCAGGAGGCGGGCCGACGCCCAGGCACCGCGGCGGGTGCCTCCTGGAGGCAGCCCTGGGCGCCTGCTCCCTCCCAGAGCGTCCTCCCGCTGCCCACCCACCCGACACCACGTTGAGCATGGCCCTCTTGTTGTCCTCCCTAAACTCTTTGTCCAGCCTGATCGCCGAGTGGTGCAGGTGCTCGTGGATCTGAGGGTCGCTCAGCGGCGGCGCCTGCCCAAGGCTGGCCTCCTGCGGCGGTCGGTGGGCGCGGCGCAGGGCGAGGCGTGGCGGTCGGCGGCGTGTTGAGGATAGAGCAGGGATGCCCGCCAGGTGCCAGGGCCACGCCGCACCGCGCGGCCCCGGCAGCAGAGCCGCAGCGTGGTTTCCCTGCCAGGCAACGCCAGCCCGGCCCCACCCACACATCGGGCGACCCCCGACCGCCGGCACACCTGCCCCCTCAACCCTCAACCCCACGCCACACGCCGCGCGGCCCCACCCGCCTCACCATGCGCAGCCGCAGCTCCTCCACGTGAAGCTCGTGTGCCCCCTCCACCTTCTGTATGTCTGAGGGGGCAAAGGCGCGGGGGTCCAGCCCCTCGGCATAGCTCCACACCGGCTGCGCCACCGCGCGCGACACCAGGAAGCCGACCAGCAGCGGCACGGCGACGAGGGTGCCTGCGGGGCGCGGCGGGGGGCGCGAGGCGGTGTGTGGGGGAGGCGGTGGTGGGGCCG